CTCTGACACAAGACAAGAGGACAAAAGCAGATAGGATGGAGGTGGAGATGGACATATTATAATACAACCGTCTGTTTTTTGAAGACTTGTGTTAAAAAGAAAAGCACAGCCCTGTGCAATGTTGTGTTCTGCATGTAAGCAACCTTTTTTTCTGTTGTGTCTGCCTCACTGTGCAGCAGCAGGTAATACCAGAGGGGCTCCTTATATTTGTGTGGGTGCAGCAGCACTCAATTAAGCTGTTTAAATACGCACAAGGATACTACCTCAGCAAGCCAGAGAGGCTTTGGACTTATATGTCTCCTAGCAACAGGTGTACCGACTATGGTCTACAGCTAGCCCCGGAGGAACGGCTGAAACAACTTGTCAGCCGGGCTCAGACGTGGCCGGAACAATGAACGATTACTTCAAAAGGGGTCCGGTGGTCCATCGATATTGCAACAAATTATGGAAAGAATGCATAGCACAGCATTCCTCACAGAACCCCGAGTTATTAATCACGTCTGTCAATGTAAACACTGTCACGCTTTCTGGCCTTCGTTTGTCTGGCTACTGTACATACAGACAGAAGAGGAGCTGGCTGCTATGACACACGTCTCTCTTCAGACCGCCGACCAACCGCTGCTCAACACCCTCACGTCTCACTTATTGGTATTAGCAGATAAAACTCTCGACACTATGCAGACTCAGCTTAGTACAAGTTACAGTGACGTAGAATTCAAAGGCACAAAATGATACAAGTATAACAATAAACATTATAAACTAGATCTATGTGATTCTGACTTGACCTCCACAAGAGGATCTCCTCAGTGGCTCATTTGCCTCTTATTTTCTGCGGCTACACTTCTTAACAGCTCCTACATCCTGTGTCTGGGGCCCAGAACCACAAGTTAGAAATCACTGACCCCAAAACGGCTCCTCAAGTCAGCCATTAAATTCGACACAGACACACTGAACAATTCACAAAACCGTTCTCTCTGAGAGATGTGGATGAGAGCCACTGGGTGAGAGGTATGAGTAACTCACTGCTGTGATACTGGAGCTAGTAGTAGAGGCCCAAACATCAATACGTCCTTCTCCCAGAAAGAGTCAATTCAAAAAGAAAGAAATCTACAATTCTGTCAAAAACACTGAGTTTAAAGTTAAAGTAAATCCTTTTTTTTATGCTTACAGCCCAGCTATTTAGTTTTTCCTCTTTACAGCCCAAAAATTAAACATTCTGAAAGTAACTTTGGCCAGAAATCAGATTTTAAAACGTGGCCACAAACCGCCAGTAGCCTCACAGTCACAATCTGATCAGAGGAACACCTGTTGGGACTCCCACCTAAAGGGGATGGAGCGAGTCAGCAGTTGGCCGACCGGAGAAGCAGGCATTGGAGCCTAACATGGTGGGAAAGAGACATCCTTGAGTTTGTAAATGAAGCCAGGGCTTGTTTGCGAGAGTTTGTCGATGCCTTGCCGGGTACAGATTATGTTACTGTGAGATAGTACTTGAAGCCAGTACTCCACCTGCTACAGGAGATTAGTGTGAACTTCAAAGTAGAGTATTACAGACCTCTCAAAACTGCAACCGAAGGTTACCTTGACAGAGAACTACTTAGATCAATCAAATCCATGAATACTCCTCAGGCAGAAGCAAGGGAACCAAGAAGCTGCCTTCTTTGACAAACAATGCAACAGTAACAGCACAGAGTTGATGCATCTGTCCAGCAGGTGAACTTTCCCAAACAAAGTCAACTTGAGAAAAAAAACTTTGAGCATTGCCGCTACCAGAGCCCTTTCAGGAGGGGAAGTCAGCACGGGAGGAAACCCGGACACATGTCATAGAAGTACCCTCGATCTTTCTAACCACCTGTGTGATGTAAAGATGCACACACAACTGTATGCAAACTGTTACTGAGGGCTCCACCTGCACTCAATGTGTACTTATAGGCTACTGTACCAAAACACAAATGTCTGTGCCAAGAAATCCTACTTTGCATACCTCAAAAAGGTCAGATGATGGATTCAAATGTATCCACAACAACAACACACACGGCCCTGATTCTGTCTGACAACAAATATTGTCAGGCCAGAGGAATTTAGGATTAACACTACATGGAGAAGACGTCATAATAACAATGGCAGTTGCTGTGGTATTGGCCCCTGATCTGACTATCTACCAGTGTTTAACATCATAACAAAGAAAAATATAGTCGAATATGTCACAATCTATGAGTTCAAACTGTGCAGCAGAGAAGCTGCAGTCACACAGGCCTCCAGGGAATCGCTCGCTTCACACCTTCAGCTCACCTGGGAAACAGGATACGTGCGAGCTTGTCAACGGCTTCAAGAGGTCTGACCCCCTTACGTCCAACAAATGCTGAGTCAAGACAGTGGCTGCCTCCAATAATATTCCATGTTGTTTTGTGTTTCTTTAATGTCAACAACAGCTGTGATCTTCTATCCAGCATGTCAAATTGTGGTATTCTGATATCCTCAAACAATAACCCAAAGCACAATGTGTGTGTTGGTTTTTGTGTTTCTGTAAAAACAATAATGACATCACAGTGGTGAAGAAATGACCTTTCGATGTGGTAGTTTTTATGCACAGTGCATCACAAAAAGGCTCAGAAGACCAACAATAGAGGACTGTGTGTTTAGTAAACAAAGACTGACTGTTAGACCTGCCGGACAAGTGCTGATACTATCACATAGCATAAACCGGCTGCTCATTTGGTGTTGATAGTTTTTTTTAGTGTCTTGGGAATTCTTCAGCGTGTCTGTGTAGAATTTAATGGCTCAGTTGAGGAGCCGTTTTGGGGTCAGTGACTTCTAACTTGTGGTTCTGGGCCCCAGACACAGGATGTAGGAGCTGTTAAGAAGTGTAGCCGCAGAAAATAAGAGGCAAATGAGCCACTGAGGAGATCCTCTTGTGGAGGTCAAGTCAGAATCACATAGATCTAGTTTAAAATGTTTATTGTTATACCACAACAAGCTGGTGTGTGTGTGTGTGTGTGTGTACCAGACCACTTGCATCATCTTGTGACATTGTCTACTCTATAAAAGGACCTGAAAGCAGGTTGTGTGCTGTTGTGAGTTCAATACAGAGGAAATCTGGGTTAACAATTTACAATTGGACATTACTTTATCAATATTGAGGTATTAAAGCGATTAACTGCCACTTCACCGAAAACAGTGGAGTGATACGTATATTAGCTGATCACAGTATGGTGTACCGATTTATTTTGTTTAATGTCATATAAAATAAAGGTAATAAAGCTCTCTTGCTCTCTCTCTTCCCTCCCACACAGAATTCATTGAGCCTTGTATTTTCTCTCGCAGGGCTCCACAAACCGCCGCTCATGACAAGCGAAAGCTGTTTGTGTGCTTCTCCCGCTCTGTCCGCGACAACACGATTGCAGTTGGTTCATGAAAGTGCGTTTAAGCAGAAATAAATTACATTTTCACTTTCAGCACTGGTAGTGGCAGCACTCTGCTACAGAACGTCTAAGGAAGAAACACTGAGTGACTTCTTTCACTTTTTGCAACTATACTGTGCAAGTCTAAGCAGTCAAAGTCTATAAAACATTTTACGTGGGATTCATTGTACGGCAATTTATTAACAGAACAACGTGATTAAAACAAGTACATGAGCAGAAGTAAACTTATCTTCTCTTGTGGCTTATCATCTCTTTGCCTTCGGAGTTGCGATAGATTATAATCTTGGTCAAAATTTATCCCAACGAAAACTAATAACTTGATCAAATAAACAAATTTTAAAAAAAATAAAATGTTTGGAGTAAACAAACCAGAGTCCGCTGTCTTCACACTACAGTAAAAACACAATGCACTGCTATAACAACAAACAACCCCCTCTGGGGATGATGAATGAGGGCAAGCGTGGCAAACGCTCGGTTGAAAACATTTGACGGCTAAATTATGCATCGTCACATATGGCAGGATGGAGTGTTGGTCTAACTGAGGTTGAGATGGTTAATGATTGGCCTGGAGGGAGCCTGCATGACTAAATGCATGAGGACATAGGCTGTTCCTAAAGCAACAAATGGCAGTCATTTGGGCTCCGTGGTTCTTTCAGGAAGTGTCCACAGCTGTTCGAATGTTGCGGTTTTTAAAAATGGTTATATAATCTTGTGTATATTGTGCTGTTGACTGAGTTAGCCTAAAGGACAAACCTTCCCATCTGTAGTCCCAAGCAATGACAACACATGTTCCCCACAACCAATAATAACAAAGCAATTATTAATCATAATTAATTATACACAAATTATTGGGCTGTGTTTCCAAAGCGTTGTACATGTCTTACTGTGTAAGAATGAATCGCATTTTCGATATGTGGCAATCCTATTGGGTGGGTTGAAGTCAGCCATTGTTGGCTTCCACAATGTGGTCACGGTCCAGCTCTAAGGCCCCATCCTAATCATACGCACAAAGGAAGCTCGTCACGGTCTTCTTGAAATATTAATGGGACTGAAATCTCTCTCTCTCACAGGTGCTATCAAATTACAAAGCAGCTGCCTCGGCTATAGTGGCAGCTCTCTTTAGCTGCCTGCTTGTCTATCTGCCTCAACAGCTTGACTGACAGTCTTGCTGTGGGAGAGGATCCATGTGACCATCCACACATGCAAATCTGTAAGACAAGACCCTGAATGCAACGCACATCACAACAACCAGTAATAAGGCCTATCTATCGAGAGTCCAATGATGTAGCATTAGTCTTAGTAGCAGCTATCGCTAGATGACAGGTAGGTTGCTGAATGATAAGCGCTCAGTGCACAGGGTCTCCCTTGACTAATGCATGGCCAGCATCACGTCAACACAAACAGTAAGTCAGTCCTGACCTCAGTATGGCAGAGACACCGGTGGTCGTATTTTGTTTAATGGAGCAGAAAAACCAAAGTTAATATCCAGTAAAACAGCTTTTAGTTATTTTTAATGCGTAAGATGTCAGGACAAATGTTTCTCACCGCTAACCTTGTTAGCATTTGGGTAATTGGTCTTACCTTGACTATCGGGTGGCCTCCGGACGCTGCTTTGATGGCTCCTCGGCTGCCCTCCGTCTCATAGTGCGCTCGGTGGTGGGCTTTAGGCTGGACCTCTATCTTCAGGTCGTACTGGCCAAACTGGCTCGGCAGTGGCCAATCGAGTGGAGGCAGTGAAGAGGTCCTGATGAGAGAAAACCACACACACACACACACACACACACACACACACACACACACACACACAC